ATCTCCCCCGCATGATCGGTTAAACGTGAACCAAGCCATTCGGCGTGATGGGCGTTAAAGTCGCCGAGGATCACGATCTCTGCGGAGGGGATCTGCTGTAGCAACGAATCTGCAGCCATTTGGACGTGGTCGAATAGTCGGTCTGTTTCGGCATTACCGCTATGGGACCTATAGAGGCACCCGTAGACGCGCGGATGGTCGTCGCTGTCTACGCGTAACCAAAGGATGGACAGGTCCGAACCTTCATGTCTGCCGAGGCGTCGAGAGCAGATGTCCTCTCTGACGTAAACGCAAACTCCAGCCCGAGGCACAAAGGAGTGTTCCAGTTTGTACCCCGGGTAGGAGAGATACGAGACATCAGCCGGAGAGGACACCTGCGTCTCGGTCAGAAAGAGCAGAGCCGGCCTCGCCGTCTCGAGATGGTAGTGGACGGCGTTTAGGTTAGAGTGAAGTCCCCTGATATTGCAGAAATTCACGGACAGCGTGGCAGGGGTCGCCTTGGTCTTGTTGCTCCGTTTGCCCCGAGCAGTTGTAGTCTTGAGCGGAATTTTGCCCCCCCCCCCCAGAATACGCGGGGGCCGCCTGAGCACCAACGCTCAGAAGTGGAGAAACATGGTCGTAGATGCTCAGCAAGGGATTCTCCAGGGGTGCTGGTACCCTCCTGGGGTAGTCGATCATTATTTAATTCCGCTACCATGTTGATGGGGGGGGGGATTTGGGCCTCCGGCCACCTGCACTCACCAGACGAAACGCGGAAGCAGAGCTTCCACTTCACGCCGGTATTCTGTGAGGTCGTGGTACCACCCCGGTTTGAGCCGGCCCATACGTGCAACAGCAAAGCTGCCGCGTGGCTCTACCACTGTTAAAATCTTTCAACTTTTGAAATGGTTTGGTTCTTTCCTCCGTGGCCGTTCTCAGTATATTCGTTTAAATGAAACTTTATCAAAGTGTTCTATCTACGGGTGTATCTCAAGGTGGCGTCCTTTTTTCTTTACTCTTTTTTATTAACTGTATCACAAAGATGATATCTTCAATCTTCCACCTCTATACAAACGATTCGCAGATGTGTCGTCGTTTTATTGTAACTGAAGCAAATTTAGCAATGTTTGAAATATTGAATAAAACTATTATTTATGGATTTTATTGCGTTTAATTACTTTACTTTATTTTTATTATTATCCCGACGTTTCGGGTGCTTTACAGCACCCATGGTCACGGGGGGGACTGAGATGTTTGACCTCCCAATGTCATTGTTTGCCCGGCTACCTTCAGTTTTTGAATATTAATTTTTGGTCCGATTTACGCAAAACGAACTTACAGTATCTTGAAGTCTTGCTGTGGTATGCTTGGGTTTGGGTTTAATTTTGTTAATTATAGGATCCCAAGCAGATGGCAGCACCCAACCATCTTCTCTATTGAAATTAGGATGTTTTTTAATTTCAATAGCCTCACGTATCATCCTTGGTAGGAATCGGTGTTCTTTTACGAGGACTTGTGGTTTATCAAATCTGATGTAATGTTGGGGACGATCCTGAACGTGTTCCCAGACTGCAGACTTCCCGGAGCGTCGGTGCTTCACGTCAGCTATATGTTCTTTCACGCGGGTTTTTATGGATCTTTTTGTTTGACCTATGTAAGAGAGACCACATTCACAATCTAACTTGTACACTCCTGCATCTTGTAGAGGGATATTACACTTGACGGATGATAAAAATTGACTAATCTTCTTCGGCGGCTTGTAGTATGTTTTAATGGAAGCTCGCTTCAAGATGTAGCAAACCATGTCTGTGACTCCTCTGACATATGGTGGTACAGCAGGCACACGCTCGACTGTGGCCGGCTTCACTCGGTCACTGTGACGTAGGCGCGGGATCCGAAGCTTGTTGTCTTGCAACACTTGCTTGACATGCTGAAGTTCGGCGGCCAGATGTTTTCTGTCACAGATCCCTCGTGCTCTCTGAAACAAAGATTTACCCACGGTAGCTAACTGTGAAGGATGATGGTGAGATTCACCATTTAAATATCGGTTGGTATGGGTCTTTTTTCTATACACAGTGTGACCAATTCTGTTATTAGGATTTCGAATGACTAAAACATCTAAGAAAGCTAAAGAATTATTTGCCTCTTTTTAACTCCATTGTGAATTGTATTTTAGAGTTTATAGAGTTAAGGTGGTCTAAAAATGCAGTTACTTTGTCAGATGGTAAAATTGTGAAAGTGTCGTCTACGTACCGATTGTAGAATCTTGGATTTACAGGAGCAGTAAGAAGGGCTTTCTCCTCGAAGTACTCCATGAATATGTCGGCGACTATGGGAGATACAGGTGAGCCCATCGCCACACCATCTACTTGCTTGTAGAACTCTTCCTTCCACAATAGATAGCCAGATGTGAGGCAATGTTTAAGTAATACTGCATATTCAGCAGGCATGTTGTTATCTTCTAGCTTCCTAGTTACAATTGAGATGCAGTCTTCAATAGGTAGGCATGTGAATAGTGACTGAACATCAAAACTGACCATAGTTTCATTGTCAGCGAGATGTAGGTCTTTTATCTCACTAACAAAATGGTATGAATCCTTTGTGTGTGCTCTGGTATGTCCTCTCAGTGGTGCCAGTATTTTTGCCAAGTGTTGTGCCAGCTTATAAGTTGGTGAATCGATCTGACTCACTATAGGACGTAGTGGAGCGTTTGGTTTGAGTATCTTCGGCAACCCATACAACCTCGGTGGTTTGGTACAGGATGGTATTAACGAAGTCACGTCGAGATTTAATTTTTCGGAGTATTTCTTTATTAAATCGCTAGTTGCTTTAAGCGTGTTAGTTGTGGGGTCTGTGGGGTCTGACAAAGTAACTGCATTTCTAGACCACCTTAACTCTACAAACTCTAAAATACAATTCACAATGGAGTTAGAGGCAAATAATTCTTTAGCTTTCCTAGATGTTTTAGTCATTCGAAATCCTGATAACACTATTGGTCACACTGTGTATAGAAAAAAAGACCCATACCAACCGATATTTAAATGGTGAATCTCACCATCATCCTTCACAGTTAGCTACCGTGGGTAAATCTTTGTTTCAGAGAGCACGAGGGATCTGTGACAGAAAACATCTGGCCGCCGAACTTCAGCATGTCAAGCAAGTGTTGCAAGACAACAAGCTTCGGATCCCGCGCCTAGGTCACATTGACCGAGTGAAGCCGGCCACAGTCGAGCGTGTGCCTGCTGTACCACCATATGTCAGAGGAGTCACAGACAAGGTTGGCTACATCTTGAAGCGAGCTTCCATTAAAACATACTACAAGCCGCCGAAGAAGATTAGTCAATTTTTACCATCCGTCAAGTGTAATATCCCTCTACAAGATGCAGGAGTGTACAAGTTAGATTGTGAATGTGGTCTCTCTTACATAGGTCAAACAAAAAGATCCATATAAACCGGCGTGAAAGAACATATAGCTGACGTGAAGCACCGACGCTCCGGGAAGTCTGCAGTCTGTGAACATGTTCAGGATCGTCCCCACCATTACATCAGATTTGATAAACCACAAGTCCTCGCAAAAGAACACCGATTCCTACCAAGGATGATACGTGAGGCTATTGAAATTAAAAAACATCCTAATTTCAATAGAGAAGATGGTTGGGTGCTGCCATCTGCTTGGGATCCTATAATTAACAAAATTAAACCCAAACCCAAGCATACCACTGCAAGACTTTAAGATACTGTAAGTTCGTTTTGCGTAAATCGGACCAAAAATTAATATTCAAAAACTGAAGGTAGCCGGGCTAACAATGACATTGGTACGTCAAACATCTCAGTCCCCCCCCCCCGTGACCATGGGTGTTGTAAAGCACCCAAAACGTGGGGATAATAATAAAAATAAATTAAAGTAATTAAACGCAATAAAATCCGTAAATAATAGTTTTATTCAATGTGTAGTATTCGCGTAAATTTAAGAAATCATAATGTTTGAAATAAATAAATACCTAAATAAAATCTATGAGTGGTCTAGATCATATTATGGACTTGATATAAACCCTAAAAATTACAAGAAATGATTATAGACACCAGGTTTACTCATAGTTTACTTGATTTTACTTCACTCCCAACATTGCAAATTAATTGCACTCCGCTAAGCATTTCAGAAACTGTTAAGAATCTGGGCATCATCATAGATTGCAATTTAACATGGATTGCATATATTACAGAAATAAGCAGGAAAATTAATCATACTTTTCATTCCTTAAAATGCTTTCACAGTTTTCTGCCTTTATCAACGAAGATTTCTCTTGTTGAAACACTTATTTTCCCGATTCTTGATTATGCTGATGACTGTTATTTGGACGCGACTGAGGAGCAATTAAACAAACTTGAGCGCTTGCAAAACTTATGTATTCTTAATATTTTTAGGCTGAAAAAGTATGAATACGTCTCTTCCTATCGCAAACAGCTGAAGTGGCTCCCAATCCGACTTCACCTGAATCCTTTGCATTTTCTTTAACATACTATACAATCCAACATCACCACCGTATATATATAATCGATTCCGCTTTGCTTATTGCCCCAATGCAGTTTGCCGTCACATTTAAAAACCCTTCAAAATTTTCCTTCCTCCAGAACTACAGTGGGTGCTCAAATTATTATACTCAACATGTTTATTCCGTTTATTTAGTATTTAAAACCAGTTATACTTTACAACGACGGTTTTAGTTCAATCAAATAAATTGAAAATGATTAATAATTTTATGCTTTATAGTTGTAGCAACACTGTAATAGCCGCCATTTTGTTTCGTTGTCAATTTTGCATTTTTTGTAAGCACGTGCTCTCTGTGTCTTTATTATAACTAAGTGAAGGATTTATTCAGTAAAAGGTATGTTTTATTGGTTTTACTTTGTAATTAGTTATTATTCTTCTTGCATTTCGCTGTTTTTTGCTGTCTAATACATATTTTATTTTAAAATTCGTCTTTTTCATCAACATAACCTCATTTTCAATAGATTTGAAAATGGGGAAGCGTTCTGACGTGTCTCCAAAAAAGAAAACTGAAATTAAGACTTTGCTTCAACACTGTAAATATTCTCAAAGGAAAATAGCAGAAATGTGCAAAGTTTCTTAATCTACAGTGCGTAATATCAGTAAAGCTATGCAACAAGGGGGAGTCCATGACGCCGAAACGTTCCGGAAAATGTGGACGCAAACGCATCACGAAATGAGCGAAAAATTCGGCAAATAACCATAGAAAATCGGAATAAACCCATAAAAGTCATTAGAGATATTCTCGAAGAGGCTAGAGTGTCTCTGTCCGACATGACGTTACGTAGAAGATGGAAGGATCAAAACTTGTCCTGCCGTCGACCATTGAAGAAGCCGAAATTGACTCCTGCCATGCGTCTGAAACGCCTAGAGTTTGCAAAAAAATATAAACACTGGACTGCAGAAGACTGGCATAAAGTAATAAATTGCATTTTAAACGTATTTTGTATTGTATCACTGTATGGACATGTCTTTACTAATGTGAATTGATCATGTATGGGATTTCTAGGTTTGCTTCTCTGATGAGTCGAGTATCCAGATTTTGCAAGACCATACGCAGTTTGTTCGTAGGAGACCAAATGAGAAATTCAAAGAAGATTGTATTGTAGAGAGAGTTATCAGTGCAAAGGGTAACAGACGCCTCTACATAGTGGAAAACACCATGCGGCAGGATCAGTACATTAAAGTTCTATCAGAAAAACTGATCCCACAGACATCAGAATGGTTTCCTAATAAGGATTTCCTGTTTATGCATGACTCAGCCCCATGTCATAAAAAAAGTGACAAAATTCCTAAATGACCATTAGATAAAGGTGTTGGAATGCCCTGGTAACTCTCCAGATCTAAACCCCATAGAAAATGTGTGGGCTGCATTAAAAAAGGAAATAGCTAGAGAAAAAGTCATAACTAACAAACAAGAACTGATTGAGAAGATAATCAAAGCTTGGTTTAACACCTCAGAATTAAAAACAATATCAAAAAATTGCATAGACAGCATGCCTCGTCGACTTCAAGAAGTTATTGCACAAAAGGGTGGTTTTACAAAATATTAATTTGTAAAAAAACTTGAATTAAATTAACTTTTTACACCAAAAACATGTTAAATTATTTTCATAAATAGTTTTATAAGCTCTAGTAAAAAAATTCCAGTAAACAGATTAAATTTATTACTTAAAGAAATTTAAACTTAAAAAAACTTAAAAAAATCTTATTTCATGGTTTGAGTATAATAATTTGAACACCCACTGTAAGTTCTATTTTCAGTCTTTTACAGTACATGCAGTTAGGTTATGAAATTCTCTTTCTGCTGCAATTCGTAAGGCTCAAACAGTTTCAGTTTTTAAAAGACAAGTTAACGATTACTATCTTTCTTTGTCGTCCCAACGATTCTATTTTATTATATATCGTCGGTCGAAAACAGTAGTGGAACATCTCTGAAAATTTGGTTTTTAACTTTTTAAGAGTGTTACATTACTATTTCAGTGCCAATTCTATATCAGTATCAGAATAAGTCAAACTCCAGATAGAAGTCGATTAAAAATGAAAGTTCCACTTCTACTCTGTGCATATAGTATTATTCAGTATTGGGACACTTCGAAATGTTCCAAAACGGTTCCAATCTCAAAATCAAAAGTTGAATTTATTCCACCACGCTTCTCGATCTCGCTCGAGTCTCGCGCGCGTTTGTTTAGTTACGCTTACGCGCTGCATGCTGCGCTTGGTAGACATATTGTCAAAAGTAATACAATCTGCAAAAATGTCTGTGTCTAAGTTATATGGAAGATCAATGAAAATATTGCAAATGGTAATCCATGAAGACGCCAATATTGAAAACAAAGGAGTGTATTTGTAACGTTTGTGTATTTTGTAGAGTCGTTACTTTTAAAATTTTGCACGCTTTAGCTATATTTTTAACCACTTTTATTCTACAAAAAGTGAGATAAAGCAAGTAGAAGAGTATTCTTTGCCACAAAATGAAGTACAAAGCCTAGGTAAATAACTTATGTATTTTATAAGATATGCTTATTTATTAACTTTTGTGCTTTATATCTAATAAATGTTATTAAAAATTCTGTCCTATTAACAGCTTTTATTGCTTTTAAGATGCTGAACAGACTTTGAACATAGAAAAATCTCCAGACACTATTTTTATATCTAATAATGATGAAGTTGGTGAAATACAGCAATATGTTGAAGAGAATTCTTGGCCCCTGAATGAAGTACATAATCGAAGTACGTACCTATCTTCATGTATTTAAGTACATAATAGAGGTACCTACGTACCTATCTGCATATATTATTTTTGTGTTTTGGTATAGTGTGTATATTTCACTGTTTGAATTTCTTTTAAGGTGTAGAGCAGGTAATAAATATGGAAAGTGTACAGACGATAAGGTTCGTAGCCAGCCAGCATGAGCCAGCAAATGAAGCTTCTAATCTAAGTATGATATTTTGTACTATTTTAATAAACTAGCTTGCTGCCCATCAACATGTATTTCATAGTTCTAAATTATTTATGCAATAGCTTTAAACGGGGTCTTTGTTTGCTTAGGCGGCGAGCTTATTTAAATTTTAGGGGGGAGGAGAAGATAAAGAAAATAATATACAAAATAACAGAGAGCCGTCACCATCAACCCCGCTTTCTAAAAATAATGCTTCGGAAGAAAAGAAGAAGTTGACAAGAAAGAGACAACGAAATCCCGAGGCATGGAAGAAAAATAAAAATAAATGTTTAAAAAATTCAGGTATGGCTTACACTACTGAGAAAGGAAAATTAGTTAATGCTAAACAATTAAAACCTGGTTGTGGAGACAAATGTCGGTTGAAGTGTACACTGAAGATTAATGAGCAGCAAAGATTAAGTAATAATAAATAAGTAATATTCAATAATTTTTGGAAATTAGGTGATTTGAATGGACAGCGAGATTTTGTCAAAAATGCTATGAAAGAAGTAAAGCTGAAATATTCGCTACATAATGCTCAGAGTAAATTAAAGATCTATTAATGCGACTTATCATTTAACAGTAGATGGTATAATTATAAGGGTATGTAAAAAGTTCTTTATGCACACTTTGGATATTGGGCACTCATTTATAACGACGTTATGTAAGAAAACAACATCATCGGGTATAGTTTTAGAAGATTTAAGAGGTAAGCATGACAAGAAAGGTAAACTACTCGCATTACCTGACTTTGTTAAGGATGGAGTACGTGAACACATAAAATCATATCCTACTAAGGAATCACACTACTGTCGAGCATCATCAATTAAACAATATTTTGATGGTGATTTAAATCTATGTATGATGTACAGGCAATACAAAGAGTGATGTAATAAAGAAGGTAAGCCTGAAGCTAAACAAGGAACGTATGAAAACATTTTTAGAACTGAATTTAATATAGCTTTCCATGTACCAAAGAAGGATCAGTGCTCTCTTTGCTGTTCTTACAATAATGCAACAACAGAACAGAAACAAGAAATGGAAAAGAGTTATAAAGATCATCTTACAGAAAAAGAGCTTTGCAGAGAAGAAAAGAGGATAGATATAGAAACATGCGAAAATGACAAACAAAAGATTATTTGTTGTTATGACATGCAAGCGGTTCTTCAAACTCCAGCGGGTAATGACTCGATATTTTTTACTTGGACACTTATCAACCTTACAGTACAATGAAATATTTCAATGTTCGGCATAAAATGCGGGGCAAGCCTAACGAAACCTTAGTTTTGACAAATAAATATCGCACTCGTCCTGAAATATCAAATCTTAAAAAGAAAGAATTGATTTCATTATGTGATGGTAAAGTAATTCCAAACGTTTATTGGGATTATTATAAAACATTGCCAGCTTCCTCAGATAAAGCTGACAATGACTAATTGTTCCCTTTTTTATATTTTCTTACTTAAAAATAAAAAAATGTTATAAAACTATAAAAGTGTTTTATTGATTATTCTCTAAAAATGCAATTATTTGCTAAGGTTCTCTAAATTTTTAAGTCATTACTTAAGAAAAATACATAGTCTTTTAATTCAGTACTGGTACATTCAAAAATAATCCATTGTCAGAGGGATATTTGCAGTCAATAAATTAATTCAGTGGTGGAACATTTCAAATATTTACTTATACTTAAAAAACAAATAATAAAAAATGATTGAATTTAATAGAAATCATAAATATAAGGTTTAACCAAAATATAACAACATTAAAAACAATATTTTTTTCTCTAAGCACTTGCTAAATGGAAAAATAAGTATTTCTAATTTTTAATTGCTCAATATCTCACATTTACTCATTTTGAAATGTTCCACTACTGTTTTCGACCGACGATATGTATATGTGTATAGTATAGTATTTAGGTATATGTATGTTTTTATGTATGGATGTGTAAAGAAAAAATATCATATATTTTAATATTTTATACAATGTTTCATTCGGCACAAAAAACGACATGACCGATTTTGCTCAAAAATTAATGAAGTCTAAGTTACATAATTATACGTTAAAAGAAACTGGTACCACAGCAATATCACTCATTTTTCTCGAGATACACGAGGCGAAAATTGAATCCGAATATACATACATACATACATACGTACATATGCACACACGGACATCCTCTTAAAAACCAAACCATACTATTCGACTCTAAAGACCTTGAAACGCGGAGATACGTTAAAATTTCCAACTTTTAAAATCGGACCCACTCGTAATTTAATAAGCATTACCTTTGTACAAAACATCTTTTTTAATTATTACTTTGTGGGTATACAGGAAGATAATTATAATGTGTAATGTTATCATGGAAAGCCTTAACTCCACTTCTGATGTAGGTAGATAGTTATAATTGTAATGTATGGTTATTACATAAAAGGCTTTTTACACAATATAGTATTATCACCACTGGTTGGGAGAAAGCCTATGTCCTGGGAAGAATCAACAAGAAACCTAAAATCTTGAAATACACAGACAACATTGATAAGAACAGAACTAATCAACTATAAATTGTACTGAGACTTATTTAATAGCTGGTAATAGTAATTAATTCGTTTCCACGAATTATCCGCAGAGTCAAGGATGAGCTAGTAACGAAATACAACAAGTGCATCGTGCCACGCCAGAGCCATGACACCCCTAACGGCGGCCACTCCGTCCGTTTTATACAAGCGAAACAAGTAGCTACACGGGTGCCACTGCAAGTGCAACACGCAGATGTGTGGTGCACGTGTTGTTTACAAGAATTCTCACTAGCTACAGAGGCGCTGCTATACGTGCAACACATGTACATAAGTTCTTAAATAAAATAAATAAATAAATAATAACAAAAAGCAAAGGTCCTAAAAGAAGTTTTATTGACATAAATCGCAAACGCTTAAATATTTAAAATTAGATATACATATTTGAACTTTGTTCACGCTGGGGCCAAGCTTGTATGGAACCAAATTCGTCTCCTTTCATATTTTATACTACTCCCGTCATAAGTATCACTTAATAGGGCAATGTATATTGCCAAGGAATTTATAATTTTACAACTGATAGGTTTTATGCTACCTTATCCAATGTTCAATAAATTAAACAACGCTATATTGTATTATGATTGAGCACCATACTTTCTTTACAAGAGAAAAATAATGGTACTAAAAAGTAAAATAAATTTTACACTTAAGGAAGCAAGTCAAATAATCGAATGTCACATATTAAAATGAATGAAAAGCTTAAATATGTTTAGAACTGGTAGTGATATAATAAAGACTGAGCAATGTAGTATTGCATCAAGACATGCATTCCTGCAGGCTCTGCCGTAATTTTCAATTTTAATTCGAAGTGCGGATTTGCCACGTGCTCCTTATAATACACAATGCTGATTAAAAAAATTTAAGACTTTAAATTAGTATAAGTCTACCAAGTATGTATTATGTGATCTCCAGCTTTAAAGGTCACGTATTTTTAACCTTAAACCCAAAGATTGCTATTTAAACCTTTAAATTGTTTAATATATTATTTAAGGAAGGTAATATTTTAATTACATTTTGTAATTATGAATAAATAAATAAATAAAATCGAATCAATTTATTGTTTTTCTTTTTCTTTATTAATGAGCTTAATCACAGTGAGAATATGTCGCTCCGTTAGTTCATCACCAAATACAGTTACATTAGGTATACTTAAACTTATTACATTACAAAGTTTCTCAAATCCGTAATAAATTACAAAAAGTATCGATCCGAGAACTTCAGCTAGTAAAGTTTTACTAACAATTTTATATCTTCAGAATATGGTTTAGCTAAAATTATATTACAATCAGCGAAGTCTTTTAAAATGTGGTGGCACTTATCAATACGAAAGGCAGCGTTGTGGGCACAATCTATCAAGATCTGCATTAGTTCCAGTAGACCAGTAGATCTAGACAAAATTATATTATCCACCTGAAAACTTAAGTATCGTTCCTATAAGAAGGTCCATTAATATTTACAAACTTTAGACCCACCATCGAATCGATCCAAATAAAAAAATAGCCGTAAAGTCTACATTATTGTACGCATTCTCTATATCAATAACCTACTGTGATTTGATTTTTTGAAAAACCCAATTGTATTCTACTGTCTAAACTAAGACCGTTCAGTCTTGATTTTGTTTTCCAAAATCCAGTGATTGTTCATAAAATAGATTTTCATTTTCCACCAACCATTCCAGTCTATTTCGCAACATAGCATGGAAGATATTACTCAGGCAAGACATCAGTGAAAAGGTCGAAGCGAGGATAAAGATAAAGCGTCACGCCCTGTTTTTGGGATTGGTGTGATTTGTATTTCTCGCCATTGGAGTGGTAGAAAACTCAGGGACTAAACAAATTAAATGTTTCAAGTAAAATAATACATGCGTTTTTGGAAAGGTGTTTGATCATGGAATAGGATATATTATCCACACCTGGGGAAGTATCTTTTGTTTTAAAACAGCACGTTTGTTCGATCATTGAAAAAAGAAAGGCAATTACAGTTTTACGAGATGATCAAACTTGGTGTTTCGGACAAACAAAGTCTGGAGCCAAACTTTGTAAAAGCTTATTTGCAATTGTTAGATCAACACAACTTCTATTTGTATTAGAATACCTATTACCTTTCAACCACTTTAATTTTTGCCACATCCCGTGTACAGTAGTAGACTCATCAATCGAGGAACAAAAATTAGAGAACGATTTTATAGTTTCCTTTTTAATTAGCAATTGTGAAATTCTGGTTTTAACTTTTAATTTATCTAAATTATTAACAGTAGGGTTTTTCCTTAATAAAGTAAGAGCTTTCTGCAACAGATTTAGATAAGTTGGTACTCCAATATACTTTAGGAGAAATATGTTGTCAGGGATCTTGGCTGGTCCTGTAAAAAGGAATATGAGCATCAGCGGCTTCAATGATTATATCTAGAAATAAATTTTTCTGCGGATCGTTATTAATAAAAACAAAACTTGAAAATTTATATTCCAAGTATGAGCTATATTGATCCCAGTTTGCTTCCTTTCTTTAGAAATTGATAGTCACTATTGTAATATGATAAATTATTCTTAGATGTAATAGAAATGTCGGGGGACGACTCCTGTACTATTATGTTTACAAATTTAACGATTATAACGATTCTGAAGATATATTGTTTTCAAACACTTTATTCTGATTTTGCTTCTTCTTCCTTTTTCAATTTGTACATTTGTTGTAAGAAAAAACTATATTCTTGTAAAGTTTGCGAAACCTCCATAACACAAGATTGTAAAATGAATGGTATTGAATTAGTGTTAGAAGTATTTTCACAACGTAAGCGCGGTACCGATCGAGTTACGCTTGCGTAAGACATTACTCCATCTTTGTTTTGTGAGATAGAGGACACAGGTATAGGCTCGGGCAGATTATTATATAAAGGTGAATTTAGTTTGAGATGTCTTTGATCCATATGTAATATAGTTGTCTCTTGTTCTACTTGTACAAGTTGAGGTTCTGTAGGAACATATATTTGTAAGGCCTTTTTATAAGAGTGTGGCCGTGGAGGGAAAAGGGGAGATCTCCCGCCGGGCAAGGTGTTCTGCCCGGGGAGCGGCCAGCACTCCGTGTGATAGTTCGGAGATGTTCTATATATACTGTTTATGATTCGGAATGTTGATAGCGCGATTTAGGCTTCGGTGTATTTCGCTTGTGGCGCGACGACAGCGCCGCTACATCACCCCCCTGCTCAGACCGGAGGTCGATAGTGCAGTCTCGTTGTCGACGAATGTGCAAGTGCCAGGAGAATGCCTTGTTGTCTGCGGTGAGTCGAGAAGGAGGCAAGTAATCTGCGAGAGTGCCGTG